CTAGCAATGACTTTTTTAACTATGAAAGCAACTCCATTTTTCCTCACTTTTTCATCTCCAGAGTAATATATCATATGGTCCTCCGACTCAAAATTTGTATATTTGTACAAATAAATAATATCCTTGAAGGTTATTGAAAAGACACTGTCAAGTAATTTAAACCTAAAAGAGAATCAAATTGTAAACTTTTAATAATTTATTACATTTTTATGATGGATGCTAAAACTAATTTTCAAAATTTTAAATATAATAATTAATTGAATCCACATTATTGAGATTTTCATCCTAAAAAGAAACACAGATTGATTTGGAACAAAATTGTTTTAAGTAGTCAGTGCCAGAAGTAAACTGAGATTGTGTTTTCAGAAAACGCAACTTCATCAGAAAGGTAATCATCAGGTCTCGATTTTGTGTTACAGATTTGCTGATCAGGAAGTGAGATCCTTAGCTGTAACCTGGATTGAAGCCATTAATGATGATGAACTAATAGATCTTCTTCCACAGTTTGTGCAAGTAAGTTTTTCACTAGATTAACTGCCTCATCAAGCTCCTCCATTTTTATGGGCAGGGAATTGGTTTGTATTAAAAGTATTTGTATAGTGTGTGATAGTTTTATATGTAAGGGTAATACCTGCTTTATTTAGTTCTTATGATAATTTTATCTTAGCAGTTTAGTATGGATTTGACAATGAATAATTCCTTTTTTCCTTTCCATGTAGGCTTTGAAATATGAAATTTACTTGAACAGCTCATTAGTGCACTTCCTCCTATCCAGGGCGTTGGGAAATATCCATATAGCACACAATTTATATTGGTAAGGGTTTTTAAAGTATAATTCATTTCCTCGTATTTATAGAGATAGTTGACTCTTTTTCATACAATATGTCCCTCCTATTTACTGCCAATATAAGGTATTATTATAGAGAAACTAACTTTCTTTTTCCTTAGAAACAATAAATTTTAGAAAACCTTTCTGTTGTGAGATATTTGACATGTCATAGCAATAAAGAATCAACAACTTTATGTTTGGTTTTATAGCTTAAAGAATTCCTGGGTGGTGCAAATGGTTACTGTACTTCATTATCTGAGTTTTAGTAATTTGAGTTCACCTGGAGGCACTTTGGAAGAAAAGACTGGAAATTTACTAAATCATTGAAAATTTTAAGCAGCACTGATCTTGGGGGGCCAGGGCGGGGAAGCACAATTCTACTCTGACATACATGTTGTTCTTGTTTGGTGCTATTGAGTATGACTCATCGTGACCCTGTGAACAATAGACCTGAGTTTTGTCCTATCCTATGCCATCTTCACAATCTCTGACAAACTTAAGCCCATTGCTCCAGTCACTGGATCAGTCCACCTGGTTAAAGGTCTTCCTCTCCTTCACCATCCCTCTTCCTTTCTAAGCATGATATCTCTCTCCAGGGAATAATCTTTCCTATTAACATGAGTATGTGAGACAAATCTTCCTTATCTTTGCCTCCTAAGCACTCTCGCTGCATTTTCTCTAGGATTTCTCTCTCTGTTCTTTTGTAATCCATGGGATATTTAGCAGTGTTCTCCAGTGCCACAGTTCGAAGGCATCAGTTGTTCTTCAGTCATCCTTATTCATTGTCTAGTTCTCAGATGCATAGCAAGTGACTGGAAAACCATGGCTTGAGTCACATGTAGCTTAGTCCTCAAAATTACATCATTGGTTCTCAATAATTTGGACATAAGCTGCCATACATCAGAATTGACCTGATGAGAACAATTTTTGTTTTGGTTTTTTTGTGCTTTATGTTGTTGTCATTTGCCATGTGGTGAAGTCTGCCTCTTGGTGGGCCCATGTTAGAGAGTAAAACAGCTCCCAAGGTTTTTCTTGACATAAGCCTAAAGCCTATATTCCAAGACGTTGCCGGATGTTGAAACCACCGACCTTTAGATTGAGTGTAAACCATTTGCACTGCTGAGGAACATTTTTGTTTTATAGTTTCAAATAAATTCCTAGAAACAAAGTAAACTATTAATATTATTTTTGAGGGGCGTTTATGGAATTCTCAGAAGTGACTAACTGAAATATTTTGCTGTATTAGGCTCCTGAAGGATGCCCTGCATGATGCACAGTTCGGTGCCCGATATGAATATATTTTGGGTGCTCTGCTCTCAGTGGGAGGAAAAAGACTTAGAGAAGAACTCTTAAAGCAGACAAGACTTGTTCAACTTTTAGGAGGAGTAGCAGAAAAAGTAAGACAGGCTAGTGGATCAGCCAGACAGGTATGTGTAAAAATGAGAGACTGTAAACATTTTGATGTGAAAGGATCTTTGTGATGCTGACACATTAAGTTTTTATTCTTTGTAAATAAGAGTCCTAACATAGCTCTTAAACTATAAATTAATTCAAAAGCTATTCTTTTTTGGGTTTTTAGATTTGTTATAACTCAGAAAATCTTTTTGTTTTATTCCCATGCTTAATTTCTGTCTGATCAAACTTAACTTTTTTTTATACTAATGGGTTTCTTTTTACTGATTTTTGTCCAATCATTCATATACATCTCATTTTATATAGTTGATTATAATTACATAATCCCAGATTTGCTTTCCTGAGTTTGAGTTTCATTACTTTGTTTAAATTTTTTTTAAGATCAAAGCATGAATTTTTGCTTACTTTCACTGTGAAATTTTTATTTAATAGGGAGTTCTATTGTTGGTAGTTGTGTTTCTAACCCAAAGGCTGTGCCTCCCTTTTGGTTTGAGTCCACTTTCTCTCACTTCTCTCTATTGCCATAGAGTTGGAATCAACTCATAGCTGACCTTCTGTTGTGGTTGTGTACCATTGAGTTAGAACCAACCTATAGTTTACCCACCAGTGAGTTTTCAGAGGCAGTTTAATTGCACAGGAAGAGATTTCAGTCTTTCTACCTAGGAGCAGCTGTTGGATTTGAACCACATGTCTTTGGGATTGCAGTGCAGTTTCTTACAACAAGGCCACCAGAGCTCCTCGACCTTCCATTGGTAGACTGTAAATCTCCAGGGAGGAAATTGCCCAACTTTCTCTGGAGAAGCCACTGCCTATGCAATATACAGCCTTGGGAACCAGCTAGAGGGCCAGCTGTGAATCTGTTCTGACTTGACAGTAGCATGTTTGAGATACTCTAATTTTTGTTTGGTTTTATTTTTTAATAAAAGTTAACTTTTTGTTAAACAACTACTTTTGACTATTTTGACATTTTATACTAAAACACTTATCTAACAGAAATTTGAGAAAAGTACTCCTTGAAATTGTATTCATAGCATAATTATTTAAAATAGTTTTCGTTGTGTATTTATAATATAGTATCAATCTCTTTCTATAGGTTGTTCTCCAAAGGAGTATGGAACGAGTGCAGTCCTTTTTTTTAAGGAATAAATGTCGTCTCCCTCTCAATCCAAGTCTTGTGGCAAAAGAATTAAATATTAAGGTGACATATAAAATACTTATAAGTTCACATTATATTTCAGAACAGAGCATAGGAAGAAAGCAAATGGGCAGGTATGCTTAAGGCACATGAGGCTAAAACCTGCATAGCTTGTCTTGTCGCCATCTATATTTTTTTTTAAGGTAAAAAATATAGATTAGAAAGTTATGCCCCAAAGATGGGACAGCCCTTCCACATTGGAAAGGAACTGTGGAGGGGGCCTGTTATCTGTATATTATATGGATGTTTATTTGTGATTAAGAGCCAAATTTATTTAAACATGTATTTATCTAATTTCCTTTCCTGAAAGAAAAATAATATTATTACTATTATAAAATTATTTACTACTTCAAAATAAACTTTCTTTTACTATGATAAGGTCCATCAGAATCATATGTTATAGTGCTAATGGGAAAGCTACTCAATTATATGATGCCAGCTTTTTTTCCCTCCCCATCGTGAAAGACAAGATAGACTGTTGTAGGTATTTAGTACTTTATAGAATCATCAAAGAATTTGAATAATCAACAAAATTGAATACTATCTTTGACCTCTTGCCAGTAGTACCATGAATGTTGGGTTTTTTCCTAAAATGAGTTTAGCAAAAGCAACAAGTTAATTATCAGCTGATTTCTTTGTGATTTTGAAAGAGAAGAGCATATATCTACTTTAATTTTTTAAATTAATTTAAACTAATTTATTTTTTTAAATCTTATTTTTAAATAATACTTGGATTTTTACTAATGAAATTATTTCATTTGATCACTATTTTATTATATTCTGCGACTGTTTATGAATTACAGTAGTATTATAATTAGAAGAAATGCAGACCACATCCCAGATTGCAATGGAAGAATATGAGAATCCAAAACTTTTAAAGGAAGAATATGAGTAAAACTTGTACTACTACAAAGCTCAGACTTTTTGCTTCACATTTTTAAGTTTTGCTTTTCTTTTTAGAGTGTAGATAGTATTATACTCACATATGCTACTATTGAATTCCAAAAATATTTTTATGTACTACTATCAACCTCAGCGTGAGGTTGATATCTGCATAAATTGCATTATGCAGATGACACAACCCTGCTCGCTGAAACTGAGGAGGACCTGAAGCGCTTGCTGCAGAAGGTCTAGGACTGCAGTCTTCAATATGGATTGAAGCTCATTATTAAGAAAACAAAGATTCTCACCACTGGGACAATTGCCAGCATCAGTATGGATGGTGAAGAGATTGAGATAGTTAACAGTTTTAGTTTACTTGGCTCCACAGTCAGCACTCTTGGTAACAGCAGCCAGGAAATCAGGAGACAAATTGCATTGGGAAAGTCAGCTGTGAGGGACCTTTCAAGAGTACGGAAGTGCAACGATGTCAGGCTGGAAACTAAAGGTGTGCCTGATCCAGGGTATAGTCTTTGCAGTTACGTGCTATGCATCGGAGAGTTGGACAGAATTGATGTCTTTGAGTTGTGGTGCTGGAGAAGAGTGTTGAATATACCATGGACTGCTAGAACAAACAGGTTTGTCCTGGAGAGGGTGAAGCCAGAATGTTCCCTGGAGTCAAGGATTCTGAAGCTTCATCTGACATACTTTGGATGTTGCAAGGAGGGACTGGTCCTTGGAGAGCGACATCAAGTTTGGGAGAGTGGAGGGATGGCACTGGAGAGGAAGGCCCTCAATGAGATGGGTTTATTCTGTGAGTGGAGTGGTGGGAATGAATGTGTTTGAGACAGCAAGGTTGGTACAGGATAGACCGGCGTTTAGTGCTCTTGTACGTAGGGTCGCTATGAGTCGCAAACAACTTGATGGCACCTAACAACAACTATCAACCTCAGACTGATTCAGGTGCACCTTAGTCCTCAGACTAACATTATTACTCCTGAATAATTTGAGCGGTCCCTAACTGCAGGCTTTCCCAGTACAGTGTCTCTTGATTTCCTGACTGCTGGTACCAGTGGATCCAAGTAAGATGACATTGTTGACAGTTTCAGTCTCTCCGGATTACTGAGGAGTAAATGTCAGTTTGAGAACTAAAGTGCATCTGATTCAGGCCATGGTCTTTCTGATCACTTGCTGTGCATCTTAGAGCTGGCCCGTGAATGAGGATGACAGAAGAGTAATTGATGCTTTTGAACTGTGCTATTGGAGAAGAGGACTGAACAGCCTGTGGACTGCCAAAAGCACAAACAAATATGTTTTGGAGAGGGTGCAGCCAGAGTGCTCTTTGGAGACAAATAACGATGAGGCTTTGCCTCACATACTTAGGGCATGTTGCTCTGAGGGGCTTTTCCTTGGAGAGGGACATGATGCTCGGAAAGGTAGAGGGTCAGCAAAGGAGAGGAAGACTCTTAACCAGGTGGATTGACACGGTGACAGCCGCAGTGGGCTTTAATGTGTTAGGAAGTATGAGGATAGCATAGAATAGGACAGGGTTCAGTTCTGTTGTTCATAGGGTCACCATGGGTTGTACTTGACTCGATGGCACCTAACAACAACAACAACATTATCACGTAACTACATAATCTAGTAGACAGGTCATATGTGTTATTTCATTTACTATTGTTAAAAGGAATATGCATCACAGAAATGCTTATGTCTATAAAAACATGTCTCTTTTTATTCCTGAGATATCTGCCTAATACTTAATGTTTTATTTACAGTCTTGTTCTTTCTTCAATTCTAACGCTGTGCCCCTAAAAGTTGCATTGGTGAATGATGATCCTATGGGAGAAGAAATTAATGTGATGTTTAAGGTGAGAATAATAGGGGTACTTTTTTTTTCTGTCTTAATTTTCATTCTGTGGTGAACATTTGTAGTATTTGCCATTTGAACCATTTTTCATTTACAGTCCAGCATCATTCATGATATGTAACCATTCCCAGATTACTTATTTTTAATCATTTTAACAGAAACTCAGCATCCTTAAACAATATTTCCCCACTCTTCTCACACTCATCCTTCTGTACACTTATTCTGGGCCTTAATGTACATGGGGTCATATGATATTTATCTTTTTTCTGGCCTGTTTATTCAACATAATTAATGTTTTCAGGGTTCATGCATGTGGTAGCATCAGAACTTCACTGTCCTTTATGGCTGAATATTTTGTGGTATGAGCATGCCACTTATTGTTTATTTGTTAAAGGTTCTGCTGGCACTGTGCATATTTATCAGATAAGCAAAAGGTTACCAGTTCAAATCCATCTACCACTCATTGGAGAAAGATAAACCAGCCTGCTTTCATAAAGTTTTCGGCCTTGGCAACACTATGGGCATATTCTGTTGATAGGAGAGTTCTGTTGGTCTAGTTTGTAGAGAGTTGCACTGCTGACTCAATGGCCTCACCTCTCTGGTGGTTCGAATTCACCAGTGGTTCTGAAGTAGAAGAATGTGTAGTCTCCTCCTGTGCAATTTATAACCTCCAGAAATCTGCTGGAGAGTCAGCTGTTGGTTGGTTCAGATTTTACAGCAATGAAATAAGAATTTATAGGGAACTATGAGTTGGAAACAACTTGGTGGCAGTGGGTTAATTAATTTGCTGGTGAACAACTGAGTTGCAGATGACTCGGTGGCCTATAACAACAGCCACCTTTCAGTTAATTATAATTAGTATTGCAGTCAACACTGATAAATAACTGTTTGAGTCTCTCCTCTTAACTCTGTTGGTAGATACCCCAGAGTAAAATTGCTCGGTTGGTTATATGATAATTCTTATACATAATAATCTTTTGATTGCCAGACTGTTTATCATAGTAGCTGCAGGATTTTACAATATCATCAGTAATGGTTAAGGGTTCTAGTGTTGCCACTTCCTTGCTGTCATTTGTTTTCTCATTTTTTATAATAGTGGGAGTGAAGTGATAATCACACTGTTGTTTTGATTGGCATCTCTCTAAGGATTAATGACTTACAGAATCTTTTTGAGGGAGCTCTGGTGACCTAGTGGTAAGGAGTCATGACTGCATCCCAAAGGCATGTAGTTTGAATCCACCAGGTAGGTACTCCATGTGAGAAAGTGGGACAGTCTTTTCCATACAGTTTATAGCCTCTGAAAAACTGCTAGAGGATCAGTTCTGAGTTGGTTCAGACTCGATGAATGTAACAGCAGCATCTTTCCATTTGCTCTTTTTTGGAGTTGTCTTTTTGTTTTGTTTTTTCTCTTGTGGCTTTCTTGGAACAGGCTTTAGATCTGCACTTTGAATAATGTATAGTGGTTATGAGGATATCTTTGTTGTTATTGTTAAATGCTGTCAAGTTGCTTGTGACTCATAGTGACCCTATGTCCAACAGCTCTAAACCCTGCTCTGGCCTATGCCAATCTTACTGTCTCTGACATACCTACACTCATTACCCCAGTCATGGAATCTATCCATCTTATCAAGGGTCTTCCCCTCCTGCGCTGTCCCTCCACTGTTCCAAACATGACATCCCTCTCCAAGGACTGGTCCCTCTGCAACATATCCAAAGGAGGTCAGACAAAGCTTCCAGCAGCCTGGTTTTACCCTCTCTAAGATGAACTTGTTTATTCTTTTAGCAGTCCATGGTATATTCAATACTCCTCTCCAGGAACACACTTTAAAGGCTCAAAGTTCTCCTTCTATCATCCCTATGTCTATATCATATCTATGTCCAGCTCTCAGAGCAATCTATTGATTATTTCTACAATTGGGGAAATATCATTTGTCTGCTCTTTTCCATAAAATTCTTGTCTGTCAGATACTTTTATAAATTTGAGCATTCAAATTAAGACATACTATGAAGAAGGATTGGCCATCAACTTCCGAAATAGCAGGCCTTTGCAATCCTATGTACAATCTTTGTTCAGCTTATTTTTTTAATGATGCTGTCTATCTATTGATCACAATTTCTGCCAAAGTCTAGATCTTTCTATTACGTTCCTTTACCATCTCCTGTTTATAACTATAACTCAAAAGCTCATTGCTGACAATTTGGAACAAACTCATAGCTGACCCTCCATAGAATTTTCACATGGTAGAATATTGCTGATGTTTCTCTTGCAGAGCTGTTGATTGACTTGAGCTGCCAAAGAGATGTCTGTCTTTCAGTTAGCAGCATAGTTCTCTATGGAAGGTGCATCTATGTTATAATCTCCATAACTACTTTCTTATTATTCATTTAGGGAGCTCTGGTCCATAGGGAGTTGTACTGTTAACCTAAACGGCAGTGTATCGCTGGTGTTTCAAATGTACTGGCAGCTCCTTGGGAGAAACATGAGCAGTGTCCCCTGGCAGTGAGTTTGAGTTTTGAGTACACGTTAAAAACTCCCACTTATTACTGTTGCTTTAGATATCAAACACAATTTAGATAACTCAGGAGGAGAAGGAAAAGTTTTTCATGTTTACCCATATATTTTCCTTTCTTTTGCTGTTCTAAGTTTTCTTGCTCTTTATATTTCTTCATTTATTTTCTGTTTGAAGAACTCAATGGTTAATATTTTAGGGTAGGTCCACTGACAACTAAGATGTTTTTTGTAATCTGAAAATATCTTGATTTCTTATGTATCTGGGGGAAAAAAACACTAGGTGAATGTTAAACCTTTAAACTTTCTCAAATGTATATATCTCCGTTTTAAACAATAATGAACATGAGCCATGTGCTTTGGATTTAAACTCACTTAACCATTAAAAGAAACAACCTAAAAAAAAAAAAGAAACATCCTGTGAGCTAGGTAAGTTGTTTTGTTTTTCCACTTTACAGATTAGGAAACAGACGTGTAGGAATTAAGGGTTTTTCTGTAAAATATTGCCCCAAAAAAGACGAGAAAGACATTTCTTCATTTCATTCTTCATTCTTTTTGCTATTTTCTTCCTTCTTCAATCCCCTACAGCTTTTATAATGTGTAATCTTGTTGAGACAGGTGGTTCAAATCCACAGGCTGCTACGAGGGAGGAAGATGCACAATCTCCTTCAATGAAATTTACAGGTTCTGAAAACTCAATTATGAATCAGTTCTGAATCGATGGCAACCAGTTGGAATTTTATTGAGGTTTTTGAAAGGTACACATTTCACTTTTGTTTCCTTGATTTCAAGGTTGGTGAAGATCTACGGCAAGATATGTTAGCTTTACAGATGATAAAGATTATGGATAAGATCTGGCTTAAAGAAGGACTAGACTTGAGGATGGTCATTTTCAAATGCCTGTCAACTGGCAGAGATCGAGGTAAATCTGTTAGTTTATTTCCTGTTTGTTTTCTGTAAATTTAGCTTGTAGTTTATCTGCCTTAGGTTCTTCACAGAATGAAAGATACAATGATCTTAGCTTTTGTTTTACTCTAATATCCCTTACTGACCTGATAACTTCTTTTATATATTTTTTTTTTATAACTTCTTTTAAAAACAATTCAGTGAGTAGTTCCACTAAGTACATTGTGGTAATAAGTATCCAGTCTGTTAACTGAGTCTACTGAGGACTTTCTGGTCTTAAGCTTTTAAAATAAGATTTTGTTTTGTTTTTT